TATCATGTAAAATAAAGAAAATGAAAAAAGAATTCTAAAGATAGTATTTCCTTTACATTGAAAGGGGGAGAACATTTGCTTGTATAGAAAGTAGGAAAAAGAGAGAAAAGAGAAAAGAAAAAGTGGAAAGAAAGAGAAAAAGAGAAAAATTTGAAAAATTTGTTACTCTAAAAACTGTAAAAAATAAAAAATAAAAATAGATATTTGTAGACTTCCTTCTTGTTTTTGGTGGTCATTAAGTTTATTTGGAATTAATATTATGTTATAATTTTTCTGCTTCCCCTACATCTTCTTTTCCCCTTAAGATTGAATGTCTTCAGCAGATGAGATTGATTCTCATCTGTTTAAAGTAGTCTTTTACAAGGTCCCCGTTGGTTTCTTACTTAGGTAAGCCTTGGTTAGATGAAAGCCAATAGGTAAGTCTGTCCATGTTCATAATTTCTAGCACTTTGGTCAGCCTTTGAGCTCACTTTAAATGCTGTTTCTCCGTCCTGTGTAATCTTGGGATTTCTAGTTTGGATCACCTTGGATTAGTAGTCCTGCAATTTGTACTTTGGGACATCCTTCAATTTCCCTAATGTTACAGCAGGTAGGGTTTTAAAGGAGGAAAAGTGGGAAGATTGTCTATTTTTGGTACTTCTTAATTTTGTGAGCTTTTGTTTTAAACTTCTGTTTTAAATCAAACCATGTTTAACTGTATTTTAACTTTTGTACTGAGAGTTTTAAAACTGTATTGGGATGATCTCTTTTGTCTTTTACAGTTGAGCTGAAGGATTCATCCAGACATACACACTTATGTTTATCTGTGTTTAACTCATTGCAAGTTCTATGGCTAGTTCTACACTGATATATAATCCTGTTTCAGATTGCAGATTAACTGAATCAAACTGAATTATATGGCAGTGTAGGTGGCGGCGGCGGTGGCCGGGGGTGTGTGGAGAGTTGAAGGAAGATAACATTTCTCCCTGTTTTCTCTGGTTAGTCCCCCTCCCCTCTTCCCATGTCATAAACCAGGCTGGGAGGAATAACAGGAAAATAGGGGAAATTGTTTTTCTTCTTCAACCCCATCCCTCACCATCCATAAAATGAAGTATCCATCTGTCTCTAGCGCCCCCTGTTGGCCTCCAAAGAATAATGGAACAGGACCCTGGATTATATGACATTGTAGGTCCAGCCATAAATTAAATTAAATCAATTCTGAGAAGATCTGGAAAATATAGAAAAATATGTATTTTTATTAAATGTCTTCAGAAGCTAGAAAATTCAATGAATACACATTTTTGTAGATATTTTTCAATATAAAAATGCCAGAAGAACCCATTTTGATTAAATTGTCAGTCCTTAAAATAGGGGTGGTCAGGGCAACTGTGAAGGAAGTGGGGGACAATATCTACCCTTCAAATCTCTGTGGATCTTATATTGCCTTTTGAGTACTCTGGAAGTGATATCATGTCACTTCTGGTCATGCGACCATTTGGTCTTTACTGGTTAGGTGTTAGCAGCAGGCTTGTACACCAACCATGTTATCACTCCAGGGCTATCAAGTGGGCAGTCCTGCATTTCTGCTACTTGCAAAATTCTGGGAAATGTAATTTAGGGCAGGGACTTTTGAATTCTGAGCTGCAAAGTTCCCCACCTTCCCAAACTACATTTCCCAGAATTCTGCAGCTGGCTTAAATGTGGGGCTGCCTGCTTTAAAGCCCTGGTCTGATAACATCAGAAGTCAGCTACTGCAACTTTGGCAGCATTTTGTTTATTTGGACTTATTTAAAAGTGAAAATCACCTCAAATTTTTGGAATTTTTAAAAAATAAGGTGTAGGGATTGGAGGGTCTCCATGCAACTTTGGTGACTAAAACAACGTGGCTCACATTGTTTTAGTCTAATTTCATCCTGTGGACTGCATTTTCTCATACCTCTTTTAAAATTTTGAACAAACATATTTTGTTTATATAAAAGCTATTTTGTATTTTTATTCTGATTAATAACATAACTCCAGGGCAGACTTTATTTTTCAAATGTTCCAGCTCAAAAGCTTTTATAGACAACATTATAATGTAAAAACATAGAAAAATCACATTCAAAATGTGTTTTTTCTATGCCAGTTCTTACGGCTGTAGGTAATTCTAGAGTAACACTGAAAAAAATTAAAGCTGTTTTTTAAATTACTGACATTTAACTGTAATCCAAGTAAGAACTGATTAATTTAGAAATGTTGCCTTACTAGACAATTTTATATAGTCACTTTAGTGCTATGTAGATGAGCATTAAATGTGATAACAGTTCAGTTGGAGAAATGAGTTCTATGTAACAGATTTTGGTGATCATAAGTATTTGAAAGAGGAGCTCCAAGATAAATGCACTTCATGTGCCCTATGCTGTATTTCTTATTAAAAATATAGACATTTGATTAGTATAAACAAATCAAATGAATTGGCAGTATCTTATAACTCATATATGGAAAAGGGCCATGAAAATATCTATTACATTCACATATGATACTCCATTTTGTGGATATATCATCGTGGCAAATGAATATGAACACCATAAATGTTGCTTTCCTGGTGTCATTCCATGATTAAGTTTATTACATCACATTAACTGATCTGTGAATTATGGTTTTAAGAGGACTTGCCAACAGCTTTTAGCCAAATATATGGAACTTCTCTTGCTATGTTTTGTTTATATGTGACATGTACTGATTTGAAATATCAATGACATCGAAAGATCTGGTAGCCAGGGACACTGATTCACTCATCAGCTGTTTTCCTATGGATGTTCCGACAACATTTTGTAAAATATATAACAGAAAATCAATTTCCTGGCTACTCAGAAATGATACACATGAAAGTAATCTATGTGAATTATAATTTTCATGTGAATGCACTATACCTTTAAGAGAATATGATCTGACATATTTTCTTAGGTAGGTGGACAGGCTTGTGGCGACTTAGTAATAACCTTAGGCATTTTTGTCTATTATTCCTTATTAGCAACACTGTCTTATGTGTCTGAGGTTCTAATTGGAATTTGCAATTAAATGAACACTTGAAACTATGACTTCAGCCATGTTTTGTTGTACATTTTGTTCATTAACGTTTCTCAAGTATTGCTTTGGAACTTGTTACTTCCCGGACTCTTTGCAGGCCAGAATATTGTATATAGATATATAAAATAGGTATAGAAGCCAAACATTTACGGTTAATAAATTAGTATTTCAGAGACTTCTTAAAAAACGGATTTTCATTCTAAACACTACATGTTGTTGCTAGTAGATTTGTGTTAATGGATGGTATTCAGAAATCTTTTACTGTTGCCATTTCTTTTGTGACCCCCAACATTAAACTAAGGGTTTCCATTTGGGGTTGGGATGTACAGTGTAAGAAGAAGTGAACTAGAGCTAAAGCTAGAGCTCTTCTATCAGAAAGTCTACAGCCAGTGAGGGGCTGTATTAATCTTCACTTCATTGGATCTGTAAGATTTCAGGCTTAGAAAAGAAGAACCCACATTTTATTAGAGGAAATTATTGTGTCCACACCCCCCCTCCGGATCTGTAGGTTTCAAATCCGCAATTTCCATCACCCCCAGATTGTCAAATTTGTTCTTAAATTGAATTTGTATGTAAGTTGAAAACAGATTAATTTTTAATTGTAAACTCTGTGTGTGTGTGCGTGTGTGTGTGCGTGTGTGTGTGCGTGTGTGTGTGTGTGTATCTCCAGCTCAAATGATGTGGTTGCTGCTCTTTAGGTGGAACAAAGTTTGATGCTTTCCCATTCCCCTTCTTTCTCCACCAAGTAGCTGAGCTGGAGGAGAGACAAACTAAAAGTACTGAAAGATGCATTTGGGGGCATGAGGGAGATGTGCTGAAGCTCTCCAGCTGACAAGGTTATATAATATTCTTTCTTTGTCCAGAATCAGTTAATGCTACAGAAATCCCCTCCTATGTTCAGCATGGTGGTTTCACTGAGCTCATTCAGGACCATTCTGCAGGACTTTTTACAGGCAGAGCTTCTTGGGTTACACAACCCTCTATTCTCAATTATGTGTTTCTAATTTATTACATCCAACTTAGTGGTTGAACTCTCAGTTCTTATCAGCATTAACATAACTTTGTGCTATTTCTTCAACGACCTTGTCACACAGCCCTTTCAGGCCACGCTGTTTTGCTGGTGAAATGGAAGGCACGCGAGGCAGCTTGTGGTGCCTTGTACACCCTCCCTCCTCCTCTCATCACATGGTGGGGATGGAAAAGGGTGCATTGACACCCTTTTCCCTCTCCTCATCAGATGGCAGAAAGGGTAGTAACGAGTGGCAACTGCCATCACATGGGGATTTGGGGAGGAAAGTGCAGGTAGCTCCGTTGGAGCTACCAGAACAACACTTTCCTCCTGTGGTATATGCACAAGAAAGCTTGATTCTGACTCGGTTCCAGAATCTGAAGTGTCCATGACTTCATGGCCATAGAGGATTTGGATTTTTACCACATACCACTGAGCATATGCAGATTATCAGAGCACCTTTCCCTTAATTGGTTTTCCATTTAATGTGGCTTACACCTGTATGTGCTGATGCAGATTATGGTGTCCACTCTGGAGTATCCTGTACTTGTGCTTATCCAGGTAAAAGGCCTTCAAAGCGCATTCATGCAGTACATCATTTGAATACCGCATTTTAAAGATGCCTTCAATTTATGTTAAGCGATGGGCCTTAATAGGAAGAATTAACTGAATATCAACCATTGTGTGTTTCTTTACTAAAGTAATACTCCTCCTTTACAAACAAAATGTGTTTCTTCAGAAACAGGGGCTGTGTTCAGTAGGGCTTAATCACATCTTTTTGTGCATTATTCTGTATCTTTACATAACTTACAAATTTAAGTACTTAAGAATTTAAAAATTAGTTTTCTAAGGAAATTATTTTGTTTTTTAAATGTTACTAGAATTTCAAACATGACTGGAATCAAGAAAATACAGTTTATTAACACATTAATTTTCTTTCTAGGTTCAGACATTGTTCAGTGGCTAATAAAGAATTTGTCTATAGAAGACCCAGGTAAATGCATTATTTTAATTTATGCTTTTGGGTAACGAGTTAAAATTGTTTTTCGTCATGATATTGTTATTAAGAGGCACAATGTTGAAAATAAAATGGAAGCCTTTCCCACAGACTATTACTTATTTACTTCATTTATATCCCACCATTCTCACCCCAAAAGAAGGACTCAGAGCAGCCTTACAAAAAGGCAGCAATTAGATACCATACACATACATAACATACAGTAAAAATAGACATAAACATCAAAACCAAAAATCAGCAGCAATATTAAAACAATTAGTAAAATCACATCATCCAGACTACCAAATCCTAGACGTTCTATGACCCTGGCTCCTTAGCTACTCACCAAAGATGAACATAATATACAATACATAAGTAGAGTAAGACACACTTTTATTATTGTCAAACAGACTGCAAGGGAAAATATTATTATAGCAGAATAACTTCAAATAGTGGAGCAAGGTGTTCTTCATTTGAGAGAAGAGGCTATCAGCCTATCAATGTGCAAAGTGGGAAAGACTGGCAATCTTTGTGTCTTGCCCTAACTGGCTCCAAAATAAGCACATGGAAAGTCACAACATATCATGGCAACGTATCCAGGTCCAAGCATAGCTTCCATTTACAAAAACCCTCTTTCCAGTGGGTTTGTCAGACTGAAAGCTGGAGAATGCTGCTGTGCCTTTAATGGTTATGTAAAATTTCAGCCGGTGTTGCTGAATCCTATCTTCTATGCAATTATTAAAGTTATAGAAACACTCTTTCATTTTCAGTCTGGAATCCTGGTTAACTATGAGCAGATGGTTCAATTACTAGATCTTTCTGGGATCACTCAAGGTGTTCATTGAAGAGTCCTAAACCAAAGTCTTTTCTTGCATGAATTAACTAAACAGGCAACCAACAAAATCAAAACCTAAGACCACCTTACTCCCATTGCAGTTTGAGAGCTTAAGGACCCAAGGATGGTTAGAGAACTATGTGAGTGACTGTGTGTGTTCTTAAGATTAGCATTACTTTCATTCTTTCTTGTAGCTGAAGTCCAAAACACCATGAAGACCAAAGCTTGGGAACCACTGATCTAGACAATCCAAGACAAGTCCCCAGATGAACCCATCTGAGTTTTCATAGTCTCAGAGGGAAACTTTCTTTCAGTCACATGTGATGAATACAGTAGGACCTTCAATTTTATGGATGTTAGGAAAATATTGAATAGATAGATAGATAGATAGATAGATAGATAGATAGATAGATAGATAATCTGAGACACCTTCAGCACAACCCTATGGTAAACCTCTGGTGAAAATTCTTTTGGAAGTTGATTGTAGAGTAAGACTAGAGGCTCTAGAGATTATTAGAGAATTTGCAAAGTCAAACCTGCATATGTAGAGGTATATTACAGCTCCTTTATGGTATCTGCTCTGAGAGACTAGAATTCTCTCCCACAGGAAGCTAGATTAATTTCTACCTTTCTCTGTTTCCTTCATTGGACAGGCTTTTTTTTACAGGATATTCAATTTTCTCCTTACTTTTTGCATTTTGAATATTCTAAAAATATTGTTTAAAATAACATTGCTTTTAGCATGATACTTTTAAAATACTGCTATTGTTTTTAGCTATATTTTAATGTAATTAATTATCAGGCACATTGTATCCTTGGATACCAAAGTGAGAGAAGGGTGGGATGGGATATAAAATAAAACAGGGAAGAAGGTTTGGTCCTTCACTTGCATACCCCATTCAAAGTGGATTACTCAGACAACCCCATGGTGCATTATGTTACATTGGAGTGATAACATAATTCCTGGTGCATATTGCCACAATTACAGAACATTTTAAAAACAATGCCACTCCACATGTTGGACTGCAACTCCCATCACTCATAAGCAGCATATTTGATAATGAGGGATACTGGGAGCTGTAGTTCAACAACTTGATCACCCATGCATGAGGATTTTTTTTTTAAAAAATTACTTTGTCACACCTTTTTTATGTACAACTAGTAGTGTATCTGCATTATGTAATTAAATTAGTTTGATACCACTTTAATTATCATGTTTCAATTCTATGAAAACCTCGGATTTGTCATTTGATGCGATATTAGAACTCTGCCAGAGAGCTCTAATGTGGCAGTTCAGGGGAAGTAGGTGACCATACCAAATTACAAATCCCAGGATTCTGTTGGATAGAGCAATGACAACTAAAATTGTTTTTATGTTATTGTGGGCATTCAATTGTGCCATTTTGTGAACCGCCCTGAGTTGCCCTTGGGCCGAGAATGGCTGTATATAAATACAGTAAATAAATAATAAATGAAAATGAATAAAATGCATATCACTGTGTAGTGTTAATCAATTCTACGATTTGTTTTAACTAATGGTTTGTATGTGCCCTCTGAGATCAAGAAAAAATATTTTGGAGCAGTGGACGCAAACAAGACCAGAGGGAATTCTTCACAACAATAAAACAAACTAAAATGTTGCTACCCTGTAAAATCTGCAAAGAACTAAGAATGATCCTCAGACCCACAAAGCTTCATAAATAAAAATATTGGATAAGATCCAAAGGTTGCCTGCTGTTAACAGAAGGAGCCTCCATTAATGGAAGAAGAGTTCTGCTAATGGAAGGAATCCTACTGTGAGTAGAACAGTCTTTCTGGGATTGGAAGACTCTTTCCAAAATAAAGAGAGGTTCATAAAGGGAATCTGCCTTTATATTACTGTTATCTCTGTATACATAGACATTTTTTAAACAGGACAAAAATAGAATAAGCAATCTTCTAGAATACCTTTCCAAGTCTATTCACATGATCCTGACAACTTGTGTTTAGGCTGCTGTTGTGTGCTTTCATTTTCATTATTTCAATTCTTATAAATGCTCCAATTGTGTTCCTTATTGCAAAGCAATAGGTAAAGTTAAAGGTTTCCCCTTGACATTCAGTCTAGTCGTGCCTGACTCTGGGGGGTGGTGCTCTTCTCCATTTCTAAGTAGAAGAGCTGGCGATATCCGTAGACGCCTACAAGGTCATGTGGCTGGCATGACTGCATGGAGTGCTGTTCCCTTCCCAGTGGAGCGGTACTTATTGATTTACTCACATTTGCATGTTTTCAGACTGCTAGGTTGGCAGAAGCTGGGGCTAACAGTGGGAGCTCACTCTGCTCCCTGGACTTGAACCGCTGACCTTTAGGTCAGCACATTCAGCAGCTCAGTGGTTTAAACTGCTGTGCCACCAGGGGCTCTTCTTGCTTGCAATAAGCCACCTCAATTGTCAGTAGGATTAGTAGTCAAAAATAAAATATTTTCGTTCATTTTAAATAAAATAAAGAATAAATAGTAATTTCATTTCAGTGCTAATAACTGAACATGTGATACATGAGAGACTGTAACAACTTCATCACACAATTTTTAATAATAATTTTTATTGTGCTTTTTTTAAGTATATACAGCAAAAGTGGGGGGAAACATAGAAAATCACACAATTTTTTTAGCATCCTAGGATGTTTCCCCGACAGCCCACCGATGGATGGGCATGCTGCCCATCACATGATATTGCTGGACTTCCGGTTGATGTCCCACCCACAATCAGAGTTGAAACATCCTACAATATTTTCCTTGCAACACAGGAGGCTTCCCATGTTGTGCTGGCACCAATGGAACCAGCATAGGTCCATGTGGCTTCAGCAACACTTCCCCTGCATGATGAGGGAAGTGTCACCACGATGAAGCTGCTCATGGGGCAACACTCACTCCTCATCCCTACTGTTTCCCCACAGAGGCTGTCAAAACAGCATGGGGGGATTCCCCCATGTGACGAAGTCAAAAGAGAGGCAGAGGCAAGGCAGTGGTCCCTTCTGCACAGTTGCATAAAATCCCACATTATCTGCTTTGAACTGAGATATATGGCAGTGTTGACTCCAGTTACCCAGTTCAAAGCAGATATTGTGGGATTTTTTGCCTTGATATTCTGGGTTATATGACTGTGTGGAAGGGCCCAGTGAGAGGAAGAAGAGATTATCCCCACACATCAGTGAGAGCAGCATCTTTCTTTTAAAACTAACAGTGTTTTGGGCATTATGGTACATTGTGATACCTTTCTCATTGGGCAACTGTGAAAGAAATAAGAAATGTTGGTGGACTGCATCAAAATAAATCACCTTCTGACATGATAACTCATCCTTGCCTTAAAAAAACACATCCAAATGTCTCACGTTTGCAATAGCATGGGGATGTCAATTTTGATCTAGCACCCTTTTTGATAGCTACCAGTGAATATTATTACAAACTGCATAAACTTTCAGTTGTGATGTTTCTTATTGTTTTCCCATTCCTAGTCCTTCTGTTACATTTCCCCATTTACTTCTCTTGGCAAATGCCTTTTTGAAATCTGCTTGGCAGATTACTTCAGCAGAAAACCCATTTCAGAATAATACGAATAAGCTGCTATGTATATCACCAATGCCTTCCATTAAAGTTTTGCCCCAATTTCATTGTAGCCAATGCCATCAAAGCAATGTTTTAATGCAAACAAAGGCTGGACTTGGCTCAATGAATTGTGTTCAAGTGGAGGTGGCCCATTTTTTTTAGTTTGCAGCATTGGTGTTCTAATCTAGATCTTTAAATTATGAATGTTATTACGAAGCTGTTGCTATGTATGTATTTTCAAGTCACTTTGACTTATGGCAACACTAAAGTTATTACAGTTTCCTTGGCGAAATTTGCCTTTGCTTCCTTTGAAGCACAATGGATGTGAGTTGACCAGGAGATAGAACATCATAAAGATTGCAATAGAGGTTTGGAATTGCAAAAATCAAGGGAAGGGTTGTCTGACACTATCTTCCATCAATTCAGCTGGAAAGTTATTTTTTTGGCTCTGGGCAAATGTTTTTTCAAATCCTTTGAAGAAGCACCTAGCAATTGAGCAGTGAAGGGTCTTTTTAAAATGTTAGAAGGACGTGAATATATATTGCTTCACAGCTTGCTGTGTTTCAAGCCACAGAACTGAG